TGTCTTTTCGGTGAATTAGATAACCAGCTTATGATCGGCAACTTAAGCTGCATTTTGTTGATACACCATTGTTATCTGAATGCTGACTTGTGGTACCTGATCCTAGTGATAAGGTCCTCTGAAAACCACAGGTTGTCCCTTAAACTACCTGAGCCTGCTCATTTATCAATAATGATCCCTGCTACGACGTGGCTCCAATCAAGGTCTATACTGATGTGAGAAAACTCTTGATCAATAGGCCGTGGCACTGTCTATTGGTGCTGCATTGTCAGTGGATCAGAGGCACATACCTGTTTTATCTGCATGGATTCAGATGATACTCATAGTCCCTTAAGATGGGAACAGATGTAGATGTTTTTGAACTGCACTTTGTATTTCAGAATATCAAAAATATTTATTGCCAAGTGTTCAATTAGGAGGGACTGGCAGGTGGAAAATGATTTTCTGTTTGCAATTTGTTATAAATGTCAAATCTGACATTGTTACTGCACTGCTTGACAGCACTGTGCAGAAATCTGATTGAAAGAAAGCCAAAGGCAAAGCCCTCATGCCAAAGCAGCCTGCAGGAAGTTGGATCAGTCATATAGTGTCGGGTGTCTGGGTTAATAGGTGCTATGACAAATAGCAGGAAACCTGGTTTGTATGAGAGATTGGTGAATATTTAAGTCATAGTATTTTTCACATACATTTTCCAAATAGTCTATTAATGTTGTTTATTTCTATAGAAATTATAAATAAATTATACCATTAAAACCTGGAGTACATTATAACAGAAGCTGGTTTTGTCTACAGACTATGCCACATGCTGCTTGGTCAAAAGCCCTGAATCAAAACCCTTTCATGTTTTAAGTTTAATTCACCGTAGCTGCTGTGCTGGTTCTGCACAGTTCGCTTTATGATCTGGTATGAATATATGCCAAAGAAAAGAATATCTGTTGTTGCCAACCTGTGCATGTCCCTGTTATGGTCACAGAATTCACACTCTTGCATTTTCCAGTAGGAATTATGCTGCATTTAACAGAATCCTGTTGCTGGGTTTGCTGGTGGGAGACTTTTAACATTCCCCAGTTGGTCTCAGAGCCACCCTGAACCCGCTCACCAGCACCTTCTCAAGGGCAACTAGGGATGAGCAAGAAATGCTGGCCAGCCAGCGATACCCACATCCCACAAATGAATTAAAAAAAACTCAGCTAGGGACTTCTTTAACCTACAGTAAAGGTCCACTGTGAAACTCAGAACTGAATATGCAAACTGAGTCTTCTCAATTATAAGCCTTTTCTTACACCTTTATAAGAAACCAGAATAACTGCAGAAATGTCCTGATCCCATTTTCCTGCAACTAACACAGAAATTTGATTTCACTTATTTGGCTTTTCTCTCCATATGTTAATGCTCAACAGATGGGGGCCAGTCAAGCATACCCCTCCATATTTGGTACTGTTCTGGAAAACCAGCCATTTTGAACAGCATGCAAGGTGACTAGCAGTGAGCCTCGTAGTATTAAATGGGGGATTCAACATAGAAGCAGACCATTTGGAGTCCAAGCAGGAGTTTTCCTCTATTCCTGCTTCCCTCATTTACTCGCCTACCTTCTCTTTAAATGTATCTACGTTATTCACTTTGGTAACGTGCTCCACCACTCTTTGGGTAAAGGAATTTCTTCTGAAGTCCATACTAGATTTTTAGTTTACTATCTTACATTGTTTTTTCTTGTGGCAAGAGACTATCAATCTCTCTTTCTCCACTTTATGAAACGATTTAATTATTTTAAAGACCTCTTTTAAGTTACCTCTCAGCCTTTATTTTTCAAGAAAGCAGACATTCAGCATGTTGATTCTATTTCCATTATTTATACCGGCATGTTTCTAGTAACAACCTTATAAATCTTCTCTGCAACTTTTCCAATCCCTCATATTCTTTTACTAACAGGCCATGCAGAACTGCACACTGCACTTTTGAATATTCCCTCTGACCTAACCCAATCTGTATTAACTTGATTTTTCATTCTGTAGAGCAGCTTTCACTGCGGATAATGAAAGAATCAAGTCTCGCCATGACAAAGGCCTTTAGCAACGACACATCTGTATCACAGACAGAAACATATAAATTAAGGAGCTTTAGAAAGTGCACTGTTTGGACAAAGTGATATATTGTCTCCAATATATCACTGTTTGCGTCCTCCTCAGACATCACTCAAAACTGATGGGGCTAAATGATCTGTTTCTGTGTTGCACTGTCTGTGCATTAATGTCCACAGGAAAAAGACTGCTAATATTAACATAATCCAAATAAAATTGCACCAATATGGAAACTGACATGAATTTGAAATGAAAATCATTGTCAAAATCTTTTTGTGATTTATTCTGCTGTATAACTGCCTGAAGGTATTAAAGTTTTCTATTAAAGTGGATTAATTAAGGTGTCTTAGATGATTAAATAATAAAACATAAATTCAGGATAATGGAATCACTGGCAGAAGGCCAAGTATGGTATAGCATTATATCAAGCAATAGGTCAGAGTATGAAATCAAACATTTAATGAGGCTGGTGTCCTGGTGTGAGAACATTGCAAAATATATTGATCAGGATATCAGTGGAGGTTGGTTGGGGAAGTGGACGGTACTTCACAGGCAGTGGGGGAGAGGTTTTTTTTTAATTCATTCATGTGATGAGGGTATCGCAGGCTAAATCAGCATTTATTGCCCATCCTAATTGCCCAGAGGGTATTAAGAGTCAGCCACATTGCTGAGGGTCTGGAGTCACATGCAGGCCAGACCAAGTAAGGATGGCAGATTTCCTACCCTAAAGGACATTAGCGAACAAGATGGGTTTTTCCAACAATTGACAATGGATTTGGGGTCATCATTAGACTCTTAATTCCAGATATTTATTGAATTCAAATTCCACCATCCATCATGTCAGGATTTGAATCAAGTCCCCAGAATATGACTTGAGTCTGTGGATGAACAGTCCATTTATGAGACTGTTAGCCCATTGCCTCCCCAAGATTGGAAAACCAGAAGTCTTACCCCACATGTTATGTTTTAACCAATTTGTCAGATTTGTCTTTGATAAGTTCTTGCCCACAGGTCACTCTGATTGATAGGCTTGGCCTTCATCTGGCATAGTGTTTGTAGGTTAGGTTGTAGGAAGAAGTTGGTTGATCCAGGAAGTCATGGGGCCTTGTTTTAGCCCTTTGAGCCCGCTGTGGTGGCAGCAGATGTACAATCCTGTGGAAGGCTATCAAATCTCTCTACTAAGGAGACAGTTACCATATCATGGAAAATGTCTCATCTAGGAAAGACAGAATGAAATGGGGAGGTGGGATCTGATCCTGGAGCCAGAGTGGGTGTGATCTGGAATGTAAGTTTCAGCTGAGCCTGGCATATTTGCGGCATGTGTAAATATCTGGGTGATAATATTGCACGAGCACTAGTGCCTGCTGGCCACAAAGAAAGACCCCTGTTTCTCCTGACACATTAGCAGAGCTGTGGAGTCACTTACCCTCCCTCAAATGTGCTGTCCTCAACTCCATTAAGCTGCCAGGTTTCTTAAGGTATGGAAAACCTACTTACCGGGGTTAAACTTGAAAAGCATGGAATTTAATTTTTGGTCGGGAAATGTGGATGTTGTTGGTCAGGCCAGCAATTATTTCCCATCCCTTATTGCCTTGAGAAAATGATGGTAAACTGCCTTCTTGAACTGCTGTAGACCATGTGATTAGATACAGTCAGCACTGTTAGGGGTGGAGTTCCAGGTTAATTATCAATAACAATAAGGGACTGACGATATAGTTCCACGTCAAGACTATGTGTGACTTGGAGAAGTCTTGCAAGCAGTGATGCTCTTTTGCACCTCTGTTGCTCTTGTCGTTCAAGATGGTAAAGTTCGCAGGTTTAGATGATACTGTTGAAGGAGCAGTGGAGTTGCTGTGATACATCTTGTAGATCTTGCATGCTGCTGCTACTTTATATCACTGGTGTTGGATATGAATGTTCAAGTTGGCGGATGGAATGCCAATCAAGTGGGCTCCTTTAACCTGAGGCTGATAATGTCACTGGACTAGTAATCCAGAACCCCAGGCTAATGCTCTGGGAACATGGGTTTGAATCATGGTGTTGCGTAAAAATTAGCACCAATAAAAACCTGAATTAAAAAGTCAGTTGATTGTTGTAAAAAGTGAGCTGATTCACTGATATCCTTTCAGAAAGGAAATCTGCCCTTTCATCTTCCAGCCTTTATGTGGATGGCTCTTAACTGCCCTCCAGATGGTTAGGATGGCAAGAAATTTTGGTCTAGTCAGTGATGCCCACATCCCAAGAGTGAATTTAAAATTGAAATTGTGTTTCTTTTGTGTTTTTCGAACTGCGGGCCTGACTTGTGTCTTGTAAAAAGTTGAAAAGCTTTGGAAGTCAGGAGATGGCAGAATTTCCAGAATCTCACCTACTGTTGTAACCACACTATTTACATGACTGGTCCAATTAATTTCATAGACAATAATAAGCTCCTGGATATTGAGGACAGAGAATTCAGTAATGAAATACCACAGAATATCAAAGGGACTTGGTTATATTGTTCCTTGTTCCATGTTGTCATTGCCTGGCACGTTTGTGGTGCAGGTATTATTTGCCTGTTATAAGCCCAAGCCTGAATGCTATCCAGTTCTTGCTGTATCTTTACATGAACTGCTTCAGTGGTTTTTGATTCATGCTGAATATTGTGTGTAAACATCATTGAACATTCCCACTTCTGATCTTCGGATAGAGGGAAGGTCGTTACGGAAATGGTCGAATATGGTTATGTCTGGGCTTGAAGGTGTACCCGTAGTGTAATAATAGGTCAGATTGGACTGGTCTTGCTTTTTGTGAACAGAACATATTTGCAAAATTTTCTGTATTGTCAGGTAGATGCCAGTGTGATCACAGTGTGGGGCCAAATTATTTAATGTATTAATGTAATTGGTTCTAATCGAAACTCTTTTCTCTTTTGCTATATTTCAGTTTAACAATCAAGCAAAACCTGTCAGCTGCTTCAGACACCTTGTACAAGCAAATGTCCGGAATAAGAAGGTTCTCAAAGATGAAGTTAACCAAATACAGGCAAAAGGGATCACTGACTATAAGAAAGGGTTTACATTTGCTTTTGAACAGTTGCTAAATGTAAGTCATTATTTTTGTTCCAAATGATTGCATGGATGACACCATGTCGAATTAGTTTGGAAATTAGGTGATATAATTTGGAATCATATTTAGTTTTAAAACAATAGACTGAATGTTACTGTACTAAAAACAAGAAAATATCATTGATACATATGATATCTGATAAGTGAGTGGCTGACAAACAATTCATTTATTTCATTTGACAAGGTGCCACACCACTGGCTGCTACATAAGATAAAGTTGCATGCTATTACAGGTAATGTATTGGCATGGATAGAGGATTGGTTGACCAGTAGAAAGCAAAGATTAGGGATAAATGGGTGTTTTTCTGGTTGGCAGTCAGTGGCTAGTGGTGTGCCTCAGGGATCAGTGTTGGGACCGCAATTGTTTACAGTTTACATAGATGTTTGGAGTTGGGGACTAAATGTGGTGTGTCAAAATTTGCAGATGACACTAAGGTGAGTGGTAGAGCAAAGTGTGCAGAAGACACAAAGTCTACAGAGGGATATAGATAGTCTAAGTGAGTGGGCAAAGGTCTGGCAGATGGAGTACAATGTTGATAAGTGTGAGGTCATCCATTTTGGTAGGAATAACAGCAAAATGGACAATGTTTTAAATGGTAAAAATTGCAGCACGCTGCTGTGCAGAGGGACGTGGGTGTCCTTGTGCATGAATCCCTAAAAGTAGGATTGCAGGTGCAGCAGGTACTTAAAAAGGCAAATGGAATTTTGTCTGTCATTGCTCGAGGGATGGAGTTTAAAAACAGGGAGGCTATGCTGCAGCTGTATAGAGTCCTGGTGAGGTCACGCCTGGAGTATTGTGTGCAGTTTTGGTCTCCTTACTTGAGAAGAGATATACTAGCACTGGAGGGGGTGCAGAGGAGATTCACTCGGTTGATTCCAGAATTGAGAGGGTTGGATTATGAGGAGAGACTGAGTAGACTGGGATTATACTCATTGGAATTCAGAAGAATGAGGGGAGATCTTATAGAAACATATAAGATTGTGAAGGGAATAGATAAGGTGGAGGCAGGGAGGTTGTTTCCGCCAGCAGGTGAAACTAGGACAAGAGGGCATCGCCTCAAAATAAAGGAAAGCAGATGTAGGACTGAGGTCAGGAGGAACTTCTTCACCCAAAGAGTTGTGAATCTGTGGAATTCCCTGCCCAGTGAAACGGTTGAAGCTACCTCGCTGAATGTTTTTAAGGCAAGGCTAGATAAATTTTTGAACAGTAAAGGAATTAAAGGTAATGGTGAGTGGGCGGGTAAGTGGAGCTGAGTCTCAAAAAGATCAGCCATGATCTTATTAAATGGTGGGGCAGGCTCGAGGGGCCAGATGGCCTACTCCTACTCCTACTCCTAGTTCTTATGTTCTTATATTCTTAGAAACACAGAACTCAAGAACAAAATAAATCAAAATAATTCAGAATGATTCAAATTGTATTTAAGATTTAGCATCCCAATGTCAAACATTCATAGAATCCTGCAACAGTGAAGGAGGTCATTCAGCCAATCATGTCTATGCAGGACCTGTGGTCAAGCTATTCAATTAGTTCCACTACTGTACTCTTTCTTCATTACCTTGTACGTGGTCTGCTTCAAAGTATTTAGCAGAATCCCTTTTGAAACATACTACTGAGTATGCTTTCACCACACTTTCACGGACTGTATTTCAGATCACAATTCACTGTCCAAAAAATATTTTCTGATGTAGCCTCTGATGTTTTTTTCCAATCATTTTAAATCTGACCTTTAGTCACTGGAAACAGGTTTTCCTTACTTACAATATCAAAATCTCCATCATGATTTTGAGCACTTTTACTAAATCTTAACTTTAACTACTCAACAGACAACAGCTCAGCTTTGCCATTCATTGCAAATATCTAATGTGCATAGTGGTTCTATGCTGTCTTAAAGAAACGATCCACCACTATGAATAATTCATGTGGAATCATTTTATGATCCCAGCTGATGTTAGTACTGTATAAGTCAGATTCCAGACTGAAGCCTGGGTTGATTGATCTTTACTATGGTTCCTTTTTAAATGTGAAATTCAGTTAATGAACTTATTTCTGAGAGTTTACAAGTGTATTTTTAGCACAATAAATAAATACTTGTTGGTCAGGAAAAGACATGAATTATATTACACTAAAGAAAAGGATTTGAAAACTTTTATTACAAATGCAAACTAAATCTCCAGCAAAGATTCACCACGATGTTCACACCACTGTTTCTTGCTCAGGCTGCAAATTTCTGCACATTCACTAGATGCTTTTGCTTTAGCTGGTAACTGTGCCTGCGACACCTGAAGTAAACGACAAACTAAACTCTAACTCCAAAGCAAACACGAGTTCCCTTATGTTAGTTTCTAGTTTCTTGCTGGATTTCTGAAAAGAATGTTCCAAGATTCTGTTTCCATTCTCTATAGCAAACAAGCACACAACTGCTGTCTGACTCACTTACGGAATTCTCTCTCTCTCTTTCTCTGTGTTTATGGACCTGTCATTAGGCAAGAGAACAGTTTTTGTTTCCTATTATTTTTTGGCTAACTACTAACCTTCACCTCTTCTCTTAAAGAGTAATAATACCTCATTAAAATGTATGTAAACAAGCAGGCCAACAGACTTCTTTTCACCATGGCACTGAAGACAACTCAAAAATGAAAATAAAACAAAGTATTCCCCCTTCTTAATTCACAAAATGTGGACATAAATTTGTACCTTCTTCCTAACAATAGGAAGCCTGATTTCAATTAACAGGCTGAGCAAAGTTTGACGTCTTTCACCTTGGTCATTTTCAGCCACTCATATTTTCATCCAGCCACTTTGCAACTCAGTAAAGAATTTCTGATATTGAAAATATTTAAAAATAATAAGAGTACCACTTCAGTGTATAATTATGGTATCAACATTTGTTTTTGAAATAATTGTTTTATGAAATAGGGAATCCAATTAAAATAGTTCACCATATCTATATGAAGGTGCTTTTAAACAATGATGGTGAAAATCAAAACCACTTCATATTGATGCTACAGTCTGAGTCTAAATGGATGCTAAAAATAACAGATATTAAAGAAATGAAATAATTGGGATCATGTGGCAGAAATGATGTGTTGTTATTATTAGGTATCATGATGTTGGATTCTTATGTACAAATGGGGTTAAAGAATGAAAACAATTTAAAGTTGTCAAGATATTGTAAACTAAACAATGTGCCTGGTCAGTTAATGGATGGAGAAGCCAGGCCATTTCAGCTGGGGTGCAGGGATAGTAGGAACTGCAGATGCTGGAGAGTCTGAGATAACAAGGTGTAGAGCTGGATGAACACAGCAGGCCAATGTTCATCCAGCTCTACACCTTGTTATCTCAGCTGGGGTGCAAATGGGTTAAATATGGTGGTTTTTTTTAATCATCTGAAGGGTCTTAGTAAAGTTTATAACTACTGATTGCTTCTGTTTGCTTACCTATTGACTATGAATATATCAGTTGGTCAGTTTATAGATGATGCCACAGTCTAGGGAAATGTTGATTGTGTTGCTTGCTGGAATAAAGAAAGATTGCTCGAGGACATAAGGGATAACCAGAGTACAATAAAATGAGACAACAAGGTGCAGGGCTGGATGAACCGCAGGAAGTGCTACACCTGCCCCCATACCTCCTCCCTCACCCCCATCCCAGGCCCCAAGAAGACTTTCCACATCAAGCAGCTGTTCACCTGCACATCTGCCAATGTGGTATATTGCATCCGCTGTACCCGGTGTGGCTTCCTCTACATCAGGGAAACCAAGCGGAGGCTCGGGAACCGCTTTGCAGAACACCTACGCTCGGTTCGCAACAAACAACTGCACCTCCCAGTCGCGAACCATTTCAACTCCCCCTCCCATTCCTCAGACAACATGTCCATCCTGGGCCTCCTGCAGTGCCACAACGATGCCACCCAAAGGTTGCAGGAACAGCAACTCATATTCCGCTTGGGAACCCTGCAGCCCAATGGTATCAATGTGGATTTCACAAGTTTCAAAATCTCCCCTCCCCCTACCGCATCCCAAAACCAGTCCAGCTCGTCCCTGCCTCCCTAACCTGTTCTTCCTCCCACCTATCCCCTCCTCCCACCTCAAGCCGCACCTCCATCTCCTACCGACCAACCTCATCCCGCCCCCTTGACCTGTCCGTCCTCCCTGGACTGACCTATCCCCTTCCTAGCTCCCCACCTACATTCACCTTTACTGGCCCCGTCCCCGCCTCTTCGACCTGTTTGTTTACTGTCCACCTATCCTCTCCTCTATCCCTCTTCTATCCGCCTCCCACTCTCTCCCTATTTATTTCAAAACCCCCTTCCCCTCCCCCTTTTCTGATGAAGGGTCTAGGCCCGAAACGTCAGCCTCTCTGCTCCTATGATGCTGCTTGGCCTGCTGTGTTCATCCAGCCCTGCACCTTGTTGTCTCGGATTCTCCAGCATCTGCAGTTCCTACTATCTCTGATACAATAAAATGAGTTTTCTGTTTCATTCCTGGGCTTATAACATATTACCCTAAATATAAGGCAGGTGACCCAGAAAATGACCCAGTCCATTTAGAGCAAGGGCTTACTAACTGAGTGGTCTGAAATGATAACCTCAAAGACTATTTAGGGTAAAAAGCCTGAAAATGTATCAGAAGCCCAGAAGCCTAAGAAGCGAAATTTGAAGACTAGGAAATATAAAAAAATTGTTATTTTTTTGAAACATGTCAATGTGCAATGCAATATGATTTAAGAAGCATCTTATGAGTTTCAAAATTGAAGAAAATAAATCAATGACAGAGTAATGTTTTCTATTCCTTCCCTGCAGTTCAATGTTTCCAGAGCTAATTGCAACAAGATCATCATGCTATTTACAGATGGTGGAGAAGAAAGAGCCCAGGATATCTTCACAACATACAACCACGATAAAAAAGTAAGTACTTGCGAAGCTACTCATTTTGATTTTAAAAATGCAATGCTAATACCATTAAAATTGATTTTTACAGTGGATGGAAATGATCTCAGTGAATTTGGCCATACATACAATATTCTATAACTCAATAGAGGGCATGTTTGTCTTGTTTGCAAAAACAGACTTATTGAGACCGGATCCAGTCAAAGATTTTCTTCGGCTAAGAATTATTCAGCATAACTTAAAAATATAATACCACGTGAGAGAATTAGCTGACAATACAGCGCTTTAAACTGGGATATGTACATGTTTCCCTTTAGGTGAATAATTTCTATTACTTGGAAAGTAAAGCAAAAACTGGAGTCAGATTAATCTCTTTCCAAAATCTTACAGTGTATTTGTTTGAATGATATAACAATTCCTCCTCAGCATTATAATGCTATTAAATGTACTCATCAGTTAAATGATATAAGTTCAGGAAAAACTTGCACTAAGAGCAAAAGTTTGATTCCCTTGCTGAACAAAACTTTTCTCTGTCCACCTTAACAACATTCAATGACCCCTCCTCTAATGCTTTCTGTAGCAGACAGTTCCAAAGTGTCACAACTCTCTGAGAGAAAAGATTTCCTGATCTCTGCCCTAAAAGGAAAACCCATAATTTTCAAGCAGTCGCCCCTCATTCTGGACTCACCCCAAAAGTGAACTTCCTTTCTACATCCACCTGTCGAGACCAACCAGGATCTTCCAACAGGCTTTTCCAACAATTGACTATGGATTCATGGTCATCATTAGACTCTTAATTCCAGATATTTATTGAGCTCAAATTCCACCATCTGCTGTGGCGGGATTTGAACCCAGTCCCCAGAACATTATCTGATTAGATAATTTAGATAATTAGATTCTAGGTTAATAGTCCAATGAAATACCACTAGGCCATCACAATTCTAATTTCCCAAAAAAGACATCAAATTAACTATACAATTGTTTCTGTTTTTTTTACCTCCCTCCCTTTTGGAATAGAGAAGCTATATTTGCTACTTTCCAGTTTAATGGAATATTTTCAGAATCTATCAGATTTACCCAATTACTATCTCATTAACCACCTCAGAGACCTCTGAGCCCAAAGTTCCATGGCTTTGTTCAGTACCACTTCTCTGGTGACCATAATCTCACCAAGTGACCTTTTAAATGTGGCACCAGCATCAGGGATGCCAGTATAGGCCAAGATATCCTGGCAACGTTGAGTACCTCTGGCCACAGCCAATGGGAGAATCAGGCTAGAATTGGATGAAAGGGGTTCCACAAGGACGTGGTAACTGGTTAATGAAACCATTTTGAGATGATCATTCAGGAATATCTATTTGGCTTTGCAGAGAGAAACCTTCTGTCAAACTCAACTTTGATTGAAAATTTCACTTTGCCAAAATATGTTAAGATTCAGCCCCAACAGACTGTGGTTTCAAGTAGTAACCACCGAACAGATGTATGAAAAGTATTGAGTATTCAGCAGCAATAGACAATAAGGCAATAGATAATATAGGACAAAGCATCGCATCCATAAACATCCACTCCCTCCATCACCGATGCTCAGTTACAGTCGTGTGTTCCATCTACAAGATGCACTGCAGAAATTCACCAAAGCTCCTTACTTTTCAAACAGCACTTTTCAAACCCATGACCACCACCATCTAGAAGAACATGGGCAGTAGTTGCATGGGAGTACCATCACCTGAGAGTTTCTCTCCAAGCCACTTACCCTGCCTACTCAGAAATATATCACCATTCATTCAATGTTGCTGGGTCATTACTCCGCTCCTGGTGGCATTGTGGGTTTACCTGAACCATACAGATGGCAACGGTTCAGGAAGGTAGCTCACCACCATCTTCTCAAGGGCAAATGCTGGCCAAGCCAGTTAAAGTCAGATCTCATGAATGTATAAAATGAAACACATTTATCCATACTTGTCCAAATGAAAACAACAAATGGTGAGTCTATTGTCTATTCTTTCATTAGTAGGAAAGTATGGAGCTACAAAAGATTGTGCAATGGAGCTACTGAGATTGAAAAAAATACATTTAGTTCTGTTAGACCCTCGGGGCCTCGAACCCACCTTATAATGTTATCAGAAGAACTAATGCACTGATTGAAACTGTCCAACATATATCTTCCATTCCCTTTAAAGTTTCAAAAGGAGCAGGAAAGATCAAATGTATAAAACAAAAGCAAAATATTGCGGATGCTGGAAATCTGAAGTATAATCCAAACAATAAACAGAAAATGTTGAAAATACTCAACAAGTCATTGGTGGTCATTGATGAAAGGGCATTGTGATGAAACATTAACTCTGCTTCTCTCTGCTCAACAACTTCCTGACATGCTGAGTACTTTTTGCATTTTCTCTTTCTTAATCCAATGTATATTTCTCATATTTGCACAAGGGTATGAGGCAACTGTCAGATTTCAAACATGGGGAGTGTTATCTGACCAGGGTATACACTTCTGCTGGTCCAAATCAAGGATTTGAAGGTGATTAGACCACACAGTATGGAGCTGGAGGAACACAGCAGGTCAGGCAGCATCAGAGGAGCAGGAAAGTTGACGTTTCAGGTCAGGACCCTTCTTCAGAAATGGGGAGGGGTAAGGGAGCTCAGAAATAAATAGAGAGGTGGAGTTGGGGAAGGTAGGTGGGATGGTGATAGGCAAGTGCAGGTAGGGAGTGATGGGGATTGGTCAGTGGGATGGGTGGGGCAGATACGTGGGAGAGAAGGTGGACAAGTTATTTCAGGTCAAGGAGGCAGGGATGAGAGGGAGGCTTGGATATGGGATGAGGCTGAGTGGGGAGATTTTAAAAGTGGTGAATTCTGTGTTTAGGCCTGACTCCAGCATCTGCAGTTCTTGCTATCTCTTTGGAGGTGAATTGCTGCTTTTCATAGTGGAAGCAAATTTATTGTAATGTTCCCCTGATGTTCATCCAATGCATGACAGCTGCCCATGTTTCCCTGTACAATATCTTAATTTAGTTCATTTCAGGACAAAGTTGGCAGTTTTGGTTTTGACTTGTTTTGCTGACGAGAAATGACTTGAAAGTGATATTTGGACAATGCTGTAAAGAAAGACATTAAGGAGGGCTGCTGCAGCAAGCCTTGAAGAAATGTGTTTCCTGCTGTTAACAAAAACACATCACATCAATGGACACCATTTCAGACTTGCTGCTTTCTTAAGACTGTCAGCCAATTAGTTCACTTGGAATGGTCAACTATTTTGCTTTGATGCATTCATCTCATGTGATTTTGGAACAGAGAGAAAATACAATAGCTTCTTTGATTTTTCAGTGTTGTAGTCAAACTAAGACCAAAATTAGCAGATAAATATTTAATTCAGGCCCTTCTATAAATTGCTGTAGCTGTTTCCAGACAGGAAGTTATGTTTGTGCTTGTTCTTTTGTTATTTGCACATACAATATCATTTGGACTTATGCCCATTGTAAAATTGAACATGAACTTCCTAAACTGGCAAATGAGGACTTTTCCAGTAACTAAATGTTTCACAGAACCTTGTGTGACGCAGCTTGTTTCACGTCTGTTATTAACTGGAAGTTTTATATGGTCTTTGCCTTTGATTTGAAATGTGAAAAAAAAACTAACACTACCACACGGCCAATTTTACCGTAACCATGAACTGAGAGCCAACATTATTCTTGGAAATACTCAGCAGGTCAGACAGCGTCTGTGGAAAAAGAAACCTTGATATTTCAAAACAATACTTATTTATCAGAACTGGAAATGTTGGAGTCATAATAGGATTTAAGCAAATGAAAGCAGCGAGGGTGGAAAAAGAACAGTAGAATCATTCTGAGATGTTTAGCAAACAAAAGAGATTCAGTGACAGAGGGGTTGGTGGTCTAGTGCCAAAGGCAGTGGTAATGAGTCAAACAAAGAAACAAACAATGGCAGAACTAGAGCAAAATGAAAAGAAAACTGAAAGTAAAACTGAAACATGCAGAGATAAAGGAAAGAGAATGGGGTATGGATTAGGATCTGAAATTGTTGAATTTAGTATCAAATCAGGCAGACTGTAGAATGTCTAAACAATAGACAACCTTACTGAGTGAAGATTAGAGCTCTGGCTTTGATTTCTAGATTGACATCGCACATCAGGAATGTGTGGTTCCCACTCACTGTATTCTGGGCTGAGGAAGCCCATAAAATCCTCCCACCGTATTGGACTTACCATCTTATTCGCTGATCTTGCAGCTATGAAGAATATTTTCATTTTGAGGCCTGGAAGATTGCTCATCAGTCAGCAAATCCTGCCACTATTTCACGTTGCTATCCAAGTAGAAGAATGACATATGCCAATACAATTCAACAGTTTATTAAGGCTATAATACCTATTAGAAATCCAATTACAAATCAATATAATTGAAAGAAATATAGATAGAGCTGCGATATACAGAGCATAGTGATTGATTGAATAACTCTTTAGTTATTGCAAAATCTGAAGTCCTAAAAAGATTTGAACAAATATTGTTTGACTGTCAGGACTGACTGAGGCCCAGTCCCCAGATTCCATTCAACATCACTTTAGATTGAGTTCTTCTACTTCCTCAAAGCTAAAGTCCTCTATGGTACATAGCTCCTTTAACTTTTCTCCCCAGTACTGTTTGGATCTTCCTTCTGTTTTATTGTGCACTTGGGATTTTTTTGTTACATTAAAGGGCCATGCAAAACACATAGATTGTGTTCATTTTGAAGCCATCTTTGCTGCAGTCTTTGTTTTGCTTTGTTTCATCTCCAACAATATCTCTTCACCATATGGCATTCTTCTTTGGCATAAGACATACCTCTCCTTTGGCCAGCCTCACTGCAGAGTCTTCCAAATACAGCTGTTCATTACTTTGTATATGATTTATACATAAACTGCAATCAAAAGAGGAAGGTTTGTTGTAGTTTCATTTTGGTACAGAATATTGCAACAGCTGATTTGGCATGTCCTGAGAGAAAAGTCTGAAATTTAAATCACGCAAAAGCCAGTAGACTGCTCAGGGAGAATAAGTTATCACCTAATGCTGAGGGCTGAATCTTACCCATTATTTTGGCCATGTCAAATTGCGTTAGATTCCGTGGAGGGTTTCTCTCCACAAAGTTGAGGGCATTTTCTCATGCTGTCGACCCCAGCTCACATCATTTACTATGTACACCATCCCTATTTAATCCCTCTCATCTGATGTTACCCAATTCTACCACTCTTCGTAGCTGGAAGAATTTGCCACTGGCTGGATGTCCTGAATGAACTGGCATCCTTGCTGCTGGTGCCATCTTTAAAAGGCGATTGTGCCTATAAACCATTCATTTGTTTTTAAAATAGAGTGTACAACTGAGGCAGTGATACTGAAGCATTGACAGTGGAAACGGTCAATACCCAGAGGACACAGATTTAACAGAAAATGCTAGAAATATTCAACAAGATTTTAATGCCATGAATTTTTATGATTTGGAATACAATGTGTGTAAAGGTATTCACAGGCGATTGGTGTTAACTTTGCCATAGGAATTTGTTAGAAATTTGAAAAGAAAAACAATTAAAGGATTATGGAGAAACAAAGTGCACTAATTAGACAGCTCCATTGATGAATTGGGACAAGCCTGATTGGGCCAATTTGTTCTGTCCTGCAAGATTCTGTGATTTTCTAACATAACTCTTACATCGCACAAAGATACAACAAGATATTGCAAAATGTGATAATAGCACATTGAAGATGTCCTTGTTTACTAAATAGTCATATCTTTTCATGTTAGGTGCGAGTGTTCACCTTTTCAGTTGGTCAACATAACTATGATAAAGGACCATTACAATGGATGGCCTGCACCAATAAAGGTATTTCCTGACTTATCTTTTATCTTATCTTTTATCCGTAGAATCATAGAAACCCTACAGTGTGGAAGCAGGCCATTTGGTCTATTGAGTCCACACCAACCCTCTGAAGAGCATCCCACCCAGATCCACTCCCCTATCCTATCCATCTAACAATCCACCCAGCCGACACATCCCTGGGCACTATGGGCAATTTAGCATGGCCAATGCACCTAACCTGCACATCTTTGGACTGTGGGAGAAAACTGGAGCCCCTGGAGGAAACCCACACAGACATGGGGAGAACATGCAAACTTCACACAGACAGTTGCCTGAGGGTGGAATCGAATCCAGGTCCCTGGTGCTGTGAAGCAGCAGTGCTAATCACTGAGCCACTGTGCTGCCCCTCCTACTGTAATTGTATATTCAAAGAACAATTGTCCATTTTTTAATTGTCCCATTCCCACTTTTTTAATTTAAAGGATGTGACTCTGAATACATTATAAACTATGTTATTTCTATATTTCAGGCTACTTTTTTGAAATTCCTTCCATCGGAGCAATACGTATCAACACACAGGTAATAATGTTACAGTTCAACTTACTAGGCTGAAACTACCTATTTTCATATACCTTTGTATATGCTATGGACTTTTTAAAAAAAATCTAAGAATAGATTGGATAATGGGGGATTTGTAGGTAAATACTTAAAAATCCTTTCTGTGGTAAAAATTGCAAATGATATTTGATTGTCTTCACATTGTACTGTACTAAATGTCATTAATTGCATTAATAATTTGTATTGACTTTTGCCTGGATAGCCCCACCAGTTCTATTAAAACAGATCCTGGTTAGTTGCTGATTTCTGATGGCTGCTCCTGAGTTCCTGTCCTTGGAGGTTACTATATAAAGGTGCTGATGTTCACTGGGTGTGGCATGGCAAATGACAAAGTCCTTTGTTATAATTTAATGGATTCAGTTCAGACTACCTGTTCCCAATCTTAGGTGCAGTAGGTTCGCTCTTCCTTGGCCTGCAGTATGACATGGAGAATATGAAAAGGTGACCCACTTTGCTCAGTAAGAGAGGAGGAACAAAAAAGGAATGGAAGAAAATTGTTGTAGTGCCTTTTATGACCAGTCTGAAAGTGTTTCACAAGCAAATTGAATCTATTTGAAATGTAATCATGTTGTAATGGAGGAAATGTGATCACCAGTTCACACACACAAACTCTCCAGACAGTAATGTGTGGAGTCTTTGTGTGATGTTGAATGAAGGATAAATATTGACCCTGGCTGACTTCCTCTGCTCTTCTTCAAAATAGTGCCTTGGGATAGTTTAAATGAAAGGACAGATGGGACCTTGGTTTTTATCACCCTATCTGAAAGATGGAACCTCTAGCATTGCTGCACTCACCCTGCACTGCATTGAAGGCTCACAACTGGGTTTTGTGCTCAAGCCTGGAAAGGGTCTTGAAGCCATCGCTTTATGCCTGAGAAGAAAGTGCTACCCCTCAGCTACGTCTGTGGAGGGGAGGAGGGCTTTCAGCAGGAGAATCTTGTGTCCTTTTTACTCATGTCTCTGAAAGAAAAAGGCACAAAGTTGAGGTTGTAGTAAAGAGTGTGCGTAAGGGAGTTGGTGGCGAGGGAACAAGAGATGCGTGCACACACCATCTGCAACTTCAAATCAGAAGAGGGTTGTGGGATGAGTGCAATTAGGATTCAGGATGAGAATTAGGTATGAGCATGCACAGTCTCTGTTGCAACCGCACAAATGATGACGAGGATCACTTCCTCCATCTGTGTGAGTACCTGCAGCCACTATCTCCCAAGAGAGAGGGAGGTGTGACATTGTGTATGATACATTCTGTTTGGATCGTGGCTCAATAACTGACTATAGATCCAAGCTGCAGAATGGGGGTGTGATGCAAAGCACATGAAGTTGAGATGCATATGTGAGGTATGAGTCAGAGATTGATAGAGATTGTAGCTGCAGACTGGCTTTTCAAGTAGAGGCTAGCTTTTAGTGCTGCTAGCTTTGTATGAACTTGCATCAAAGATACAGGCAGGGGTTAATCGCACATTCAAATCCTCAGCACATTTTCAGGTATATCCAATTGGGCCCCCACAGTGTCATCACAGAAATGTTCCTGCTCAGAGCCTTACATTCTTGTTATTTATAAAGAAAGACGTTATTTCACCATTCAGACTGCAGTGAACGTACTGGAGTTCAGGCACATTGAGTTGTAACACATTACCCTTTCCCTTTTGTGACCTGAGCTTCAGTCCAGCTAGATTGCTGGGAAGAAGCCCTGCCCCCTGACATGCCCACTGATTCTAAATGAAAGTGTTTGGTTAATCTGAACCCAGTTCCTACAGCTCAAGCACACATCTCAATATCATGGAAAGCTTTGCATTAATTAGCGATTTTTCAGAGAGGTCAACAGGAGGCCTGGCTTCAGCAATTATTTCTTTTGAAACAAAGTGTTTGGATTCGAGTGAAAGGACATTCGTTTATGACTGTTAGACTTGGGAACTACTGATGGAAAAACAGCATTCACACCAATAGTTAATATTTCTCATATCTGCTTAAAGTGTAAACATTTTGAGACATTGCTGGGGCATTTTTGAGTGCTCATTAATGTACATTCACATTTATGTGTTTCAATTTTCTTTTATAAAACTGTGACGATTCAGCCTGTAACTAAGCTGAGGAACCATCCGGTTAAACTTACTGGTATTCAAGATTAACTATAGATGCTCCATAAAGGCCATGATAATATGTCTTGTATTATAGAGTGAAATTTTGCTCTTATAGTTGTACCTTCTGATTAGCTATGAGTAAGAGCTTTAAGAGATCAGTACTTTGTGTCTGGTGTGTGTCATTTGTGCCACTTCTCAAAAGTCGTTGTCCTTCTGGGTGATCTTATTAAAAAGGAATGGAACTTTGTCAGTTTCTGCTACTTTCGCTGTTAGATTCTCAGCAAGACCTCCATTTTAACAATTAAACATTACAATTGTGTGTCATAGCACAAAAATCTTAGCTGTTCTTTACAATGTTGATCTAATGTGTAGTGATTATAATGAAGCCAGCCAGGTGGACCTCATACAGTATGAGTTCCCTGATTGAGGCTGTTAACCTGGTCCAATCAGGGAGCCCTGGCTGAAAGATATAAACAGGAGTGTCAGAGGTTCTGTCACTCTAGGAGCTGGCTCTGAGCTAACTGGGTCCGTGTCATGTTCTATGCACGTGTAAATAAAAGGTGTCTTGGTGACAGGATACTGGCGTTAATGGAGTTATTTCACACCTCTCAACTTAAATCTATGACCCCTGGTTATTGATATCTTTCCAAATGGAATGTGTGCAATTCCTTATATATGTCTCTCAGAGTCTTACACGCCACTATTAGGTCCTGTATCAAACTTTGCTGCCTAAGAAAAACAAACCCAACTTTCAAGGGTTAGACCATCTGAAATACAACCACAAGCCAGCAGCAGAATAAAAGTGCGTGGTGTAATGTTCCTGTCATTTTGAAATGGGAAGGTATGAAAATTCAGATCAAAGCACTCTGCTTACTGCTTTTATACCCACTGTGAGTGAAGTTGGTGAGATCTCAACTGGATTACCACTTTTAAGTTTGGGTATCATATCTTAAGAAATTTATATTATTGGTCTTGGAGGGAGCGTACCAGAAAGACATTAGACATAGTAAGAAATCACATGGCTCCAGGTTATAGTCCAACAGGTTTATTTGAAAACATAAGCTTTCAGAGCCTCAGTCCAACACCGGTACCTCCACATCATGGCATTAGACATGTAAGGTTTATTTGCGAGATTGGCTGTAAAACCTAGGCTTGTTTTAAAGGAAGTTAACAAGGTTGAAGGGTGATCTGATCAAGCTGTTGAAAATAATCCAGGAATTTAGTAGGTAAATGCAGAGAAAGCTGTCCTTCTGACTTGATTATCCAGAACAAGGAGCCACAATTTGACAACCTCCCCTGACCACCACCTCTTTATCTCAGATTATCCATTCAGAGCAGGCAAGCCACTGGGTCTATATAAATAAGAGCTGGCCATTCAAATTCACTTAGCCTCACAATTCACCTCAGGGGCTGATCTGTTGGCACATATCGCCAGTCAATGGTCCTGGAGTTAAAAGTCGCCTTAATGGAAGGTTTGAGTCATTATGAGCAACCACATAGAAGGTTGGCTAGCATATTTTATTCTGGGGTGTCTCTAGGAGGAAGTTATGATTGGTTTACTTAGAAGCACAATCTATTATATAGGAAGGTCAATGCTCTACCGAGTACTATTCTTTTAAAATCTTAATATTTCCACATCTATAGAGCATAGTGAAAAATAAGAATTATTTTCTGTGGTTACCGTTGTGGATAGCTTTGATTGCTGTGATCAATTATTCGGTTTATTCCATAGGAATACTTGGATGTGCTTGGAAGACCAATGGTTTTAGCTGGCACAAAGGAAAAACAAGTTCAGTGGACCAACGTGTACCTGGATGCATTGGTATGATGTGAATGATTTGTACTTATCACAGCTGGCATTTGCATTGAGTGAGTGATATTACTTCAAGAGAAGTTCAAAATAGCCAATAGAGTGGGATATCAGAAGAATACATTCTTTGTAACGTATACCATGTCTGCGTTTGAAATAGTGGAAATGTCAACAGTTATCAAAAGCAATCTTGTCAGACACATTCAAATTGTTTTGAACTAACTAACATGTGATGCCCTTGACGGCTGAATAAGGAATTATTTTGAATTGGATAAATCAGGTCTCAAATAAACAATGGACCCTTTATTCCAAGCTGAAAAATTGTGGCATGACAATTGAATGGCACTGATAGAGGAAATCCAGAGACATTGCAGCTGAAAAACAAAGAAGATGCTGCCTATCTTAATGAAAAGTAAAGCAAACGACATGATTGAGTTCAATTTAATTTTGCTCCTTTTCATTTGTTGCTCAACTCTTTCAAATAGATTTGCAGCATTTTCTGCTGAAAATGTGACAAGATATTTCATGCAGCACTTAGCTTCTCCTTTACATGTACTTTGGAAATTGCTGTAAGCAAAAAGCATTCAAAAAAGACTTCTGGAAAAAGGAGGTATTAATGAGGCATTTATCCAGGGAAGATTCAAGTGTTGTTGTGTTTATTTTCATTTTGTAATTATGAATTCAAAAGCAGACAGAATTAACCTGGGCTGTTTGACATGAATCGCAGCCATGTTGTCCTTATTCACTGATAATATAAGCATCATAATAACACTTAGTAAAAGAGTCCAAAGTGCTTCACAATATTCTAATCGCACAGTCTTGGTTATCATTTACTCCAGTTCGTTTTTCTTACGTTTAGTTACAAAGGTTTTGATTTCTGTTTGAATTTTAAAATCTTCAAATAGGGCTCAAAAATTTCTGGATTTTCACTGGACTCTTTAAATAGTTGTTTCGATAAAGAGCACTGTAAAATTGTGGTAATGTTACTGAACGCATAATTCATTGGCCTAACCTAATACTCCAGAGTTTTGAGTTAAATTCCCACCATGACAGACAGTGGAACCTACATCTTTAAATTTATAAATCTGGGATAAATATTTCAAACTAATAATGAAGATCATAGAATTGCTGTACAAACTCACTCTGTTCACCAACGATGTATATGACTCCAGAACCACACCAATAGACTTTAATCTGCGATGGCTTGGTAAGCCATTCGGTAGTAGGCTGCTCTTCGCTCAAGGGAAAGTAGGGAAGGGAAATAAATGCTGGCCTTGACAGGGATCTGACATCCCAAGAATGGAAAATGTTACATCGAAGAGGTACAATGTGACAGCGCTTGATGTATCTGCTGTAGCTTGACAAGTTAAGAGATGAATTGTCTCTCGGGAAGGTTTCTCTCCTTCCCGCATGTCATACAAGTGCTTTTCAACAGTATTTAATTTTCTGGCCCCACTATGCTATTGTCAAATGTGCCCTTCAAATTTGAAAGAAATATTGATGTCCTTTAGCTGAAGGCTGCAGCATGAGGATTGTGGCTGTTCATTGCTGTGCTTGGAAATACATGGTTATAACAGGGATGTGAGGTGGTACCTTCCAGGCTCCAAGGAGCTGAGTTTTGAAGGCAGAACTGGGAGAAAATTCACAGCTTAGGGTATCAAGTCAACGTGTCCAACTCCAGGCAATTCTACTGGAGAGGCTGTGGGCCGGTCTTCTCACGGAGATACGGTAGGGTGTAGAACCCAAAAAACATTTTGTAAATATTGAATCTGGTGCTTAAACCACTCATTTTATTTATGTATCAATGCTGTAAAATAAAAATATCCACCAGTCTGTGGAGCCATGGCATGTTGCAGTTTGCCCCGAAATATTCATTCCAACCTTTACTCATTGTCCTTTATGACCTTCTTGAGTTATTTGTAGTATATGACATCTCACATGACATCGCCAATAAAGGGGAGCAATCCCTTGATGATATCATAAATACTGAGCTGGTACAAAAGGTTAACATTATTGCTTTCAGTCGTGCTCTGAACTGGTTGAAAGTAAAGTGGTATTTATCTTATTCAGCTCATTCTTCATGGAAACTCAAGAAACCTTTCCCCACCTCCATTATTATTTCCCAGTTCAGTTCAGTTTTACTGTTCCCTTCTTTTAGTTAAATTGCTATGATTTCTCCTCATTGCTGCCTTGTAGTATAGGATTCAAAGTGCAATGACCAAATTTACTAAGCTTTAAATAACACGCTTTACTGGAACTGTCCAAGACATTTCCTTTCTCCCATAAGGTTCTATTTTTGTTTAATTTGATCTGTCCTTTTGGGAAAATATTATCAAGTACAGATGATAAATCCAAATTGCAACATTACTTTCTAATATTGTGCATTAATGAATATATTGAGGGATCGAGATTTTTTTTTCTATAAATGTAAGAACTTCCATGATGCTTTATTGTTGTTAGTTGTTAATACTGCCTTTCCTTTTCTCAATTTTAGTTTTCATCCCAAAACAGATATTTTTGTTATTTGGACAATAATGTCATCTTGTAACCTTAAAAAGATTCATCAATTTGCACGACAGTATCCTTCAACAGTCGATTAAAATGTTGCATGGTATACATTATAATGTCCAATTGTTGGAAGACGTTGTATGTTCTAGTTACTGTAATCAGCACCATGGTAGATTTGTTACTGCTTGAAGGAATGCACAGTTACTCAGAGACTATAGAAAATAATTTGCAAACTACAAGCATAGAATTTAGTTCTATATCTTACCCCTAATCTCTTCTAGCATTTTAAAATCCTGGACCCCGCCTCTGATCAAATATCTAATATCTGCCAGCCTTGTGGTTTGGTAGAGTATTTTTTGAAATTAAAATGTGTAAATAGGAAAGGCAAATACATCAGAATCTATGGTAAGTGATATTTACAAGTGTGAAGAAATGAATGGCAGGGAAGCCTTAGAGGAAGAGGGATAGTCAAAGGATGAAAATAATGACAGGCGTGGAGATGAGGCAATGAAAAAGATGTGAGGAGTGTTCAAGAAAGTAAACCAAATGAGTTGGAAAGTGGAGAACAGAAGGAACTTGCAAGAATTGGAGAGTTAGGAAAGAAGCAAAAATTTACCTCGAAAATGGAAACAGTTTCACAGCAAATCAATATATTTATTAAAATAACGCTAGTGTCTTTGTGCAGACATTGTGATTTCTCCAAACACTAAAAATGCAGCAGTAAATTTCTTAAGCTAGCTAATAAGCCAGTCAAACATCTTGCTGATGGCCGTTGCTGTTCACACAAGAGGGGATGCTGGTGATAGTGTTATTCAACAATAAGCGAATATGATTATACATTGTTACATTATTGAACTAATTCATTACCTACCAGGGCAGCTGGAGAGCTTACCTCCAGATACTGAAAGAAATGAAGAATGAAAAACTGGTATCTATAATGTTGACTGTGAAACTACCAAATTGTCATAAAAATCCATCTGGTTTATGAAAATCTGGCCGTTGTGTGCTTCCAGATTAACAGCAATGTAATTGTCTTCTGAAACGGCCTGGATAACCACTCAGTTGTATTCAAGCAGCTTTGCAAGGGCAATTAGGGATGAGCAATAAATGATAGCCTTGTCAGTTACACCTACATCTTGTGAGTGAAATGTTTGTCATAGTGCTTTCACTAGAACCTCTATGCAACACAAAACAGAGACGAAAATTACAAATCTGGTTGCAAGGCTGAGAGTAATTCATTTGCTCTTTTATCAACCATCAGAGGGCCTGATGGACTCATTACATTTCTTCACTTCACCTGCACTAGAATTAAAACCCTCAGGCCAGTAATGACAATAAAACCTTGGATATAATGGGTTGCAATTTGCTGTTGGAATAAGTCTACGTGAGTAATGCTACCAGCCATTATTTAAACTTGTCCTTGGCAGTTTCATTTCCACAATATTTTATAGCTGAGTTTGGTAAGTGAGGGAAATGAGGTATCTGCAATCTGGATGAACATAACAAGCATCTCTTTAAACAATCAGATTGAAGGACGATAGAAGTAATGTCAAGAGAACTGTGAAAGAAGTGTGAATTAGACTGGATAAGTTCAATGTTTAATAATATGCGGAAAGGGAATTAAAAAATAAAAATAAGAATTGGATTAAGAGAAAAAAGTAGTTAGAGATATAGAAAGTAGAAAAGTAGCTCTTACATTAAATTTTATTTTTGCTGGCTTATAATTGTTACTTTTTGTTACCAGTCATTGACAGTAATACACACAGTTGAAAGCAAACATGTACAAAATCCAAATGGCTCAAAAAGGCTCTTGCATCACGTCAGACCAAATTTTACTTTCTGCAGTGAGTTTAGTTTGTCTTTATCGTTGAAAATACAGCAACTTTGCCATACTGAATGCATTTCCATGATGAGTCAGACACAGAAAACCCCATAAATGCAACATCAACTTTTGAATTTCTTTGTTAAACCAGCCATATACCCTCGCCTAAAGTACATACACCTAAAGTACAGCACAGGAACAGGCCCTTTGGCCCACTGTGTCTGTACTGATGATGGTTCCATTCCGGCCATGATGCCATTATTGTAACAGTAAGTTATGGATCTCCGTCACTCTAGAGCAAACAATGTGACAGGAACGTAATTTACCATTCAGGTGGAAATATCTGCATTTGTCACTTAAAAAGCAGTAAAAATAAGTTTATTTTCTAAATTTCAAACAATGAGTTTTAAGTAAAAATTGAAAGAACTGCAGATGCTGTGAATCAGCAACAAAAACATAAATTGCTGGAAAAAGCTCAGCAGGTTTGGCAGCATCTGTGGTGAGAAATCAGAGTTAACGTTTTGGGTTGAGTGACCCTTCCTCCGATGAGTTTTAAGTGCTAGATATCCTGTTCCCTATTTGTGGGTTTACAGGGGTGGTGGGGGATTGGAGTAGGGTTACAGGGTTCAGAAATCTATCATGTGGCCTCCAGTCACTCACTGCATCCCTGCCCCCAATCTGA